CCTCTATGATTAATGTTTCTTATCTTTTCTGTCCATGACTGAGAGTAAAAAGAAATACATATCATTGGAAAGCCGTGAGAATTATTTTTCATTTCAAAAAAGTAAATTTCTCCCTTTTCAACCTTTTTTTTCTTTGGACCTGGTTTCTGCTCTTCTTCCATTAAATGTAAAGCAATAATGTCAGCAGCAGTTATTCAACAAAGAGGGAATAGGTAAAGGTATTGCTTTGTGTAAGTCAAAAAACCAATTTAAAAGAAGAGTTTTTTTTTTTTTTCAAAGATCTTATTTTTATGTAATCTCTTCACCCAACATGGGGCTCGAACTCACAACCCCGAGATCAAGAGTCGCATATTCCACTGACTGAGCCAGCCAGGTGCCCCAAAAGAAAAGGTTTTTTTAAAGAGACATTTAAAGAGCTCTTAATGGGCTTTAGGATAATAGTTTAAATGTTGATTAAGTAAGTTTTCTCACAGAAGACTCCATAAAAGCCGTTTTCCTTTGATAACAGCTTTCCTTTCTTAATACCCGATCATCGTCATGTTTTTCTCTTTTCTAATCTCTACAATTTAGCCTTTTCCCAAATCACCTTCTCTCCTGACAATGTCTGTTCCATTCTCTTTGATTACTTTGTTTTAAATCAGACCCTTTCACACCACTAGCATTTCCAGCTAACCCCTCCCTGGTTTACTAGGTTACATTTATATCCCCCGTGTTGTATGTTCTCAGCATTACAATTTCATTACCCCATTCCTCACAGAACAGCTTCTCTTCTTCCAGCTTTGGACACATAGTGGATTTGTATTTTTATGTCTTTTAGATGGCAAGTCTGGACCTAAAGCCAAGAAATCAACAGTAGAGCTGCAGGACATTTTCAAAGAGGGCCCATCCCGAGGAATAAACACAGAAGAACTTAAAAAGAGAAAGTCTCTACTGGGAGATACCTGGAAGTCTAGAGAACAGTTTAAGAATCAGCACTTACACCAGGAGAAGTATCTGGGACACGATAAAATCACCTGTATGGAAATTCCTGCCAAAGAAGGAGATACAGAATCTAATGAATTTGGAAGAGTTTTCACTCTACAATCAATAGTTTCAGAACAGAGTGATCTTATACAAGAGTGTTTTCATGAACATGGTACACATGGAAAAATCTTCAAACAAAACTCAGAGTTAATTATACAAAGGAAGTGTGATGGAAAGAAACCTTGTAAATGTGGTGGATGTGGGAAAACCTTCAGAGACCACACTGCTCTTGTTCAACACGAAAGGACTCATACTGGAGAGCGACCCTATAAATGTAATGTATGTGGAAAGGGATTTAACCAGAGTTCCCACCTAACAAACGATCAGAAGACTCATACAGGAGAAAGGCCCTACAAATGCAATGAATGTGGGAAGGCCTTCAGTTATTGCTCAGTCCTTACTCAACATCAGAGAATTCATAGTGGGGAGAGACCGTATGAATGTCCTGAATGTAGCAAGACATTCAGTCGTAGCACAAACCTTACTCAGCATCAAAGAATTCACACAGGTGAGAAGCCCTATGAGTGTCTGGAATGTGGAAAGGCTTTTAGCCAGAGCACGCATCTTACTCTACATCAGAGAATTCATACTGGAGAGAAGCCTTATGAATGCAACGAATGTGGTAAAACCTTCAATCAGAGTGCACATCGTACTCAACATCAGAGAATTCATACAGGAGAAAAGCCCTATGAATGTAATGACTGTGGAAAAGCTTTCAGTGATCACTCAGCTCTTATTCGACATCATATCGTCCTCACTGGGGAGAAACCTTATGAATGTAATAACTGTGGGAAAGCTTTCAGTTACTGTTCAAACCTCATTCACCATCAGAGAACACATACTGGAGAGAAACCATACAAATGCAGTGAATGTGGGAATGCCTTTAGTGATTGTTCAGCCCTTATTCAGCATCAGAGAATTCACACTGGAGAGAAGCCCTATGAGTGTAATGAATGTGGGAAGGCCTTTGGTAACTACTCAGCTCTTATTCAACATCAGAGAACTCATACTGGAGAGAAGCTCTATGAATGTAAGGAATGTGGAAAAACCTTTAGCAGAAGGACATACCTTGCTCAACATCAGAGAAGTCATACAGGTGATAAACCATATAAATGTAATGAATGTGAGAAAACTTTCACCCAGAGTTCATTCCTTACACAACACATGAGGGTTCATACCGGAGAAAAACCGTACAAATGTAATGAATGTGGGAAAGCTTTCAGTGATCGCTCAGGGCATATTCAGCATCAGAGAACTCACACTGGAGAGAAGCCCTATGAATGTAATGATTGTGGGAAAGCTTTCGGTTTCTGTTCAGCTCTTATTCAACATAAGAGAATTCATACTGGAGAGAAGCCCTATAAATGCAATGACTGCAGAAAAGCCTTTAGTGATAGGTCAGCACTTATTCAACATCAGAGAACTCACACCGGAGTGAAGCCCTATAAATGTAATGTATGTGGAAAAGCCTTCAGTCAGAGTACAAGCCTTACAAATCACCAGAAAACTCATTCTAGTGAAAAATCCTGTAAATGCAGTGAACGTGGAAAAGCCTTTAGTTACTGCTCAGGCCTTATTCAACATCAAATCATTCATACTGGAGAGAAACTTTATGAGTGCAGTAAATGTAGCAGAGCCTTTAGCCAGAGGACAGATCTTAAAAAAACATCAGAAAACTCATACTGAAGAGAAACTCTACAAATGTAATGAATGTGGAAAAGCCTTCAGCCAGAGCACATATCTTACAAAACACCAGAAAATTCATAGTGGGGAGAAACCAAATATACATACTGAGTGTAGGAAAACATTTAGACAAAACTCTTCTATTCGACATGAAAAATCCTGCACTGGAGAGAAATCCTCTGAATGCCTTGAGGGTCTGGCTACTGTGGAGACCCTTCCCAGGGAAACAGAAGGAGGGTCATGAAAACTGTTAATTAGAGTGGCCACATGGTTTAGTGGGAGGCGCCCATATCTGGGTTTTAAAGGTCCTGGGTTCCAATCTCAGCTCTATTACCAACTAGGTCTATTACTTACTTTAGGGTAAGTCACTTTACCTCTTCATGCCTTAATTTACTCACCTAAAAAATTGGAAGGCCTGATTAATTGATCTTTGAGATCCACATTTATTTTATTTATTTACCAATGCAGGTTTTTATAGATGTGACTCTCAAATTGTGACTTATTTATTCTACAACAGATCTGATTTACAATGTGAGGATGTAGTAGTTATTAGGAATTCAATAAAGATACAGACTACATGCTATTTATTACCTTTGTATTGGTCCTCCAAAATTAAACATACCATGAGTATTCAAGGAGATTAAGACATAAAATAGTATAAATTATGCTAATTATTGCAGTAGGAAGGTTGGGGTCTTGATTAAGAATATGGTGTTTGATAAATCCTCAAAAAGAATGAATCAAATTGTTGGTAAAGGCTGGCTTACCTAGAATCCACCCAAATTTAATATTGCAATATAAATTTTCTCTGTTAAGTTGAATTGGTCACTATCATGTCCCGGGTGAAAAGGAACTAGAAAACAGTTCTAAAGTCTTGAGCAGGTTACCAAGAAAAGATGAAATTGGAAAATGCGTTTGTTGTTTCCATACCTTAAACATGTAAAGACCATGTGAATGAGAATAAATCTTGAGATCCCATACATCTAGAAAAGTCTGTTGGTCTCTTGTCTTTGTCCTGTGATTACAGAGATAACAGCCTGAAAATATGAAGATTTATCTCAGAAACCTATGATTTTAAGTTGACCAGTTAATCTTTTCCAAGTTTTCTGTAATGCCTATGCATTGTTTTATAATCAAACTATTTTTTAAAAGCATTTGATAACAAATTTACTGGTTTTGGAAAAGGAGCCTACTTTAGTGTATTATGCAATGGATTTAAAAACTATGAGCACAAGTGTAAGAGACTATCGTAAAGCTGCTACTTTATGACTTTTTTGTTGCTTTCTCAGCCTGTTTCCCCTTACAGCAAACACCACTCTCCCTTTGAGATACATTTCAGCCAGGCAGTTCCCACTTTCTCTCCTACTTCCCAACAATTTGACCATATGCTAACTGCAATCAGGATACCCTCCTTATTTACCTTCCTAATTTCTGCCTCTCAAACTTCATTTTATGATTTAGCACATACATAGTCTTGGATGATGATGATTCACCTTCATCAGCTGCTTTCAGCACTCATCTCTCTCTCTCTTTTTTTAAGATTATTTATTTATTTATTTATTTATTTATTTATTTATTTATTAGACAGAACACAAGCAAGGGGAGCAGCAGAGGGAGAGGGAGAAGCAGGGTCCCTGCTGAGCAGGGAGCCTGATGTGGGACTCCATCCCATGACCTGAGCTGAAGGCAGACGCTTAACGACTGAGCCATCCAGGCGCCCCAGCACTCATTTCTTTTTTCTTTGAATTTCTGTAGCATTTATTCACATGGACTTTAGTACTTAGTGGTTCCTTGATGTTCAATAATCACCTTAAAGGTAGGTTCCATACCTTAGAGTTTTATAACTTCACAGAAACTAAGTAGAAGTAGAAATAGAGTTGATGCTCAGTTAATCTTCACTGACTGAGGAAGTGTGCTGTAGTAACAAGACCATGATGAACACACGTGCTTTATCTCATTTGCAAGATGACTCTTCGAACTCTGTTTTGTTCGGTTCATGAATACACAACCACACTTACTTTTTAAAATATATATATTTAAAACTAGGGGCGCCTGGGTGACTCAGTTGGTTAAGCATCTGCCTTCAGCTCAGGTCACGATCCCAGGGTCCTGGGATCAAAATCTGCATCGGGCTCCCTGCTCAGTGGGGAGCCTGCGTCTCCCTCTCCCACTCCCCCTGCTTGTGCTCCTTCTCTCGCTTCGTCTCTCTCTGTCAAATAAATAAATAAAAACTTAAAAAAAACTAATTAAAAATGTATAGTGATTATAATAAAATAAAAAATGATACTGTACAGCAGTCTTTTTTCTTCTTCATATAGCTATTTTCAAATAGGATATGGTTCTCCACAATAATTTCTAATGTCTATACTTAACACCACTATCCTGGGATTTTTTTAACTTGACATCCTCAATCTTCTCCAGCAAGTTGCCACTGGATTTCAGTTATGGATACTGGACTTTCACACATAGTTATTCTGGCATTTTCTTCCATAGCTTGCTTTGAAGATAACTGCTCACTTCCTGAATCACTCATTCACTTTGGTCTCTGCTAAATATCAATTCCCTGTCTCTGTTTACAATAGAAACACATTAGTTTTTATAAATGTAAGGTCACTGCTTCCATTTCCTCTTTACCTGAGAGTTTTAACATACTGAGGTTGGGTTATACATAGTTGATTTTCTTTATTGACCCCTTAGCAGCCAGGTTTGACTCTGTATTCAAAGAGGTTGCTTCCATTAGGATCATGGGTATCTCTTATAACAGGCCCAGAGCAGTGGTCATCCAGACTGTGGACATAAGCAACCCAGGCTTACCTGGGCGGGAAAATGCCAGGATGTGAGAACACAGGCTCTCAGTCATATCACTCCCCCATCTTTGATGTGTGTTTCTGTCTGACATCCAGATATCTTGTCCCTTTTCAAACTAGCAGAAATGTAAAGACATCTCTTTCCCAGTAGGGGTATGACCTGGAAGTTTTGTGCATTATTTTACTCCTATCCCATTGGCCATAAATGGGTCATATGACTTCATGTACTGGAGCCAGAGAAGGAGCAAAGTCAGACATAGTTCGAAAGGGGAGAATGGTAATAAACAGCCAGCAGAGAGCTTAGGGTGATTGTGTGCCTCATCAGTTAAATTGCAATAGAAAATGACCTGGTTTCATAAGTTCATGGGCCACGAATTCAGTCTGGAAGGTCAGCGGGCAGCTTAGATGTCCTGGTGGAGTAGCTCAATAACAGGAAGTAGAAAGCTGAAAGTGTAGGCCAGGCACACTCTCAGAAGGAAGGTGCAGGCCATGGTCAGCATGTGCGAGATTGCCCCCCAACCAAAACGGGGAATTGAGCTAATTTCTTAACTCATTAACTTTGAGTAGGCCTTTCTTTCCGAGTGATGTGCCCAGATCTGAGCATGAAGGAGAGTCGAGACACCCCCAAAGCAAACACATTACAAAGGAAATCTAACTCTGGCTTCAAGCCAGGTGAAGGTTTGTTGCTGTTGCGTGCTCATGGGCTCGCCACTCAAATCTCCGAGAAATTGGAACATTTGTTTCCGTCCGGCTTACCTGGAAGCCAAAGTAATGATACCCATGGAAAAAGAAGTGAGACAGAGCCGAACAACTCCCTCCACAACAAGGGATAAAAAGGCCATCACAGATGGGTAGGAGAGGTAGAGATGCAGTCTCACCAAAACCCCACCTCTGGGGGGCAGACACACACAGGAGGAATCTCAGAGGTCTGGTCATTGTCAGAGGGGAGGATGGTGAAGGGCATCAACTGGATGATGAGGCAGGGTAACTAGACGTAGTGTGGTGAAAACTTTGTGTGGTACACAAATACAAATTATTATGCAGTGCACCTGAAACTAATGTTATATACCAATTTTACCTCAAAACAAACAAACAAACAAACCGAACTTCATCTAAAACCTTATCAACTCAGGGTGGTATTTGTGCAAGGACAGACAAATGGACCAATGGAACAAAAAAGGAGCACATTTTGTACTTAACAGATGGCATACAGAAGAGCATGGAAAGGCAGGACTTTTCAATAAATTGTGCTGGCATAATTAGACATCTATATGGAAAGATAATATGCCCTACATAGAAACGAATTCCAGGCACATTAATGCTGAAATGTAAAAGGCAAAAGTCTGAAGCATTTAGAAGAGAATATAAATAAATATACTGCAGACTTTTGGATAGGAATAAGGAATAGGACGCAACAGTACTAAACAGGAAAAATGGATAAATTTAATGAGATTAAATTTACAGAGTATTTTAAGAATAAGTGAAATGAAGAACTTGTTCATCAAAAAGCACTATGAAAGAATGAATCTAAGTCACAAAATGGGAGAAGATATTTGCAACATTAATAACTTATACAGGACTAGCACGAAAATACAGAATATAGAAAGAACTTCTATGCCTATGACATCTATGAGACAGAACGGGAGACTGGCAGAAAATGTTTAGCCTGAGAGGTCACCAGTGTCTCTTCTGCTTTGCTCTGTTGGTTAGAAGCCAGTCAGTATGGCCCCCAGGCAAGGAGAGGGTATTTGGACCACCTTCTGATGACAGGAGTGCCACAGAGTTTGTGGACCTACTTTATTATTATTATTTTTTAAGATTTTATTTATTTATTTGAGAGAGAGAGAGAGAGCACATGAGGGGGGGGAGGGTCAGAGGGAGAAGCAGACTCCCCAATGAGCAGGGAGCCCGATGCAGGGCTCGATCCCAGAACCCTGGGATCATGACCTGAGCCGAAGGCAGACACTTAACGACTGAGCCACCCAGGCGCTCCTAAAGATTTATTTATTTATTAGAGAGAGAGAGAGTGCGTGTGCGCAGGGTAGGGACAGAGGGAGAGAAACTTCCAGCAGACTCCCTGTTGAGCGGGGAGCCTGTCCCTGGGCTTGATCTCATGACCCATGAAATCATCACCTGAGTCAAAACCAAGAGTCAGACGCTCAATTGACTGAGCCACCCAGGTGCCCCTGTGGACATACTTTAAAACAACTACAGCAAGCAAGCTTATTAGAAATTAGGAAAACGCAAACCAACCCTGTAATTAGATGCTACTGATCTTCCACCAAAATTGCTAAAATTAAAAAGACAAGAAGTACTAATTATTGGCAAGGATGCTAAGTAATAACGTTCATCACTACTGTTGATTGTGTAAACTGATAGAAATACTGTGGAAGTCAGTTGGACTTTAGTAAGTTAAAGATGTACATACCCTATTATCTAGATCTCAACCCAAGAGAAACACATGCGCGTGTACAGCAGGAGGTCTGTAGGAGAATTTCCACACTGGTGTTGTCTGTAGAGCCAAGAATCGGAAACAACTGGAGTGAACATTTGCACTAACTCGGATAAACAGTGTCGAATACTATTCAGCAGTTGGCAACAGATCAGAGCTACAGAAAACAATACGGATGAACCTTACAAACATAATTTTGTGAGAGGAAGATACAAAGGAAGCATTTAGTCTGATGAGACAAAATTAGGCTGTATTGTTTAGGGATATATGTGTACACGGTGAAATGTATGAAGAATGTAAATACAGGGCACCTGGGTGGCTCAGTCAGTTAAGCGTCTGCCTTCGGCTCAGGTCATGATCCCAGGGTCCTGGAATTGAGTCCCACATTGGGCTCCCTGCTCAGCGGGGAGCCTGCTTCTCCCTCTCCTGCTCTCCCTGCTTGTGTTCTCTTTCCTTCTGTCAAATAAATAAATAAAATCTTTAAAGAAAATGTAAATACACAGTTACTGTAAAAGTCAGGACTGGGTTTTTCTGGGGGCGTAAGGAGAGCATGGAGGACAGAGGGTTAAAGGGAAGGGACACACACAGCTTCCTGGGTGCCAACAAGGCCCTGATCACCATTCCAAGTGACGGTTAGATGTTCGTTTTGTGATTACTTGTTAAGCTGCAGGTGTAGATTTTATTTACCTCCCTGTGTGTTATATTTCACAATAAAAATACAAAACAGAACAAAGAGACACAAGGAAGCTTCCTCTGTATGAACATGTAAAGATTTCCAACCTATATTGTGAAGTATCAAAAGCAAGGCCGAGAACAAATGAATATATTTACAGGAAAGTGGATAAATTCCAGAAGGATAGGTAAGAAATGAAGAACAGTAGAACCAATGGAGGATGGAGGACAAAGTAGGAACCAGGCAGGTAGGTGACAAGGGAAACATCAGTGCATAATCATTTTGAACTCTGTGAGTCCACTACTATTTCAAAATACCAAACAAGCAAATGAGTAAAATCTCTCAAAGCAGTATTCAGAAGACTTCCAGGAACATGTGTCTTCCTTAGGACAGTTTCCCACGCCTTTGAGCCGCACGCATTATATCCTCACCCTTAGGCACCAGTGGCTCAGGAGTCAGGGTTTAGTCCTGGGCAGCCTAAAGGTTTGGGAAGGAGAAGAACTAATGATGAGAGAGATGAACGTGGGGAGCTCTGCAGATGGGACTGGAGTCTCAGGTGCTCAGTCCCAGGCGAGCTTTAACTCCCGCACGGGCACTGGCTAGCATGCCAGACCTCGTGGTTAGGCAGAGGCCCCATGGTTAGCCGCTCAGGTTTATACACCCGACCAGGAGCAGTAGAAACAGAATCTGGAACACTTTACCTATGAAAAGCCCATTCCTGTCCCTGTTTGGGGTTAAACTCTTTAAATTTGCTTACACATCCTCCTGCAGAAGACTCATTTACTGAGTGTTTCCTGTGTAGGTGGCAGGCCATTCATTCGGCCTTTACTCAGCATGACTGTCAGTGAGTAGCTGCCATACGACATGTATTCCTCTAGACACCGGGGCGATAGCTGTGAACAAAATGGGCAAAAATCTCTGTCTTCATGGAATTTGCGTTCTAATGGGAAATTTAGACAAATGAAAAATATATAACTACTAATAAAAAATAAAGCAGGAAGATAATAGGGATGACTCCTTAAAAAGTGTTTTGAAATTTTAAATGTGTTGAACAGGTGAGATTTCCCTGAGAAGTTGATATTTGAGCAAAACCCTAAAGGACAGGAGGAAAGGAGTTAGGCACACATTTGGGGTGGGGGGAGGGTTTCCAGGCAGAGCACACAGAGAGGACAAAGGCCTGAGGCTGGGGTTAGACCACACTTGTGCCTGAGTGTCAGCAGGAGACTGTGCAGCTGGGGATGGGGGGCCCGGGGAGGGGGAGGAGTGATCAGGGGATGGCTGCACGGGTCACCAGAAGCACTTCAGCTTTCATCCTGGAACCAGAGGGGAGTCCTTGGAGAGTTGTGCATTAATTCCTTGTTTAGAATAGACAGGAAGGGGGGGGGCAAAGAGAAATAGAAACAGGG